GAGAAACGAATTAGATTGATAAAGTAAAAACCTCAAAGCGTTGGAACGCGATTACAGCAGAATGACTCTAAGGAATTAGCTCTCCATGGTTCTCTCAAAGCTCCGAATGTATTTTTCGTGAAAATGTAACTAGGTGAACAGTAACACGAGTATTTTTCCTTTAAGAAGAAAGCTAATTCGGGTCATAACCCAACTGGGTCGAAAACATAACCCAGGCCCAATACATGACCCAACACTAAAATAAAATTCTAATGCAGTAACTTCAAACGGAATTCTGGAATTTTGGGCTCTGGATCTGACTTCGACTCCAACACGAAAGTCGTAGCTCTCTCTCTTAGCTTTCCGGCGATTTTTAGAACGCCTCAAACGGATTTCTGGAACTATAGTTATGATCGTTTCCGTGCAGACTGCTAAAGCTGAAAAATAAGTGCGGAAATCAAATTAAGCCAAAAATAAAATAAAATATAAAAACAAAATAAAACATGAAAATAATTTAGATAAATTAAAGAAATGCCTAAGTAAAAATATAGGAAAAAGTGCATAAATATGCACTGATCACTCATCACGCTGGGAGCGCTTAAACGTCTCCCCATGGACACAAACCTTAGGATCTATGACATTTTGATATTAATGATTATAGGAATACCTTGACGAATATAATGAGAAAGATTTTTAGAAAATGACAACGATAATTCTAAAATACAAAAGTGTAGCGACAAGTGTTTGACACTGGTTGGCTTGTGGATTTTTCTCAACCAGTACTAGTAATGTCTTGAAAACTCTTCGAATGGGGATAAAAAGAGATAATCTTCTTATAGCATGATATATTTGAGATCACAACCTATATATAGAATGACAATCATTTAGAATTCTCATTATTTCGAAATGGATTATCTTGACATCCACTTATATTTAAGCATATATTCAATTAAATAATTAATTATTAAATATAATTAATTATTTTATTTACTTATTCAACCGATTAAGACTCAAATATATATCTATATATATATATATATATATATATATATATATATATATATATATATATATATATATATATATATATATATATATATATATATATATATATATATATATATATATATATATATATATATATATATATATATATATATATATATATATATATATATATATATATATATATATATCCATCTCTCCGTCATGGAGGGCCTAGCTCATTGATCAGTTGTCGCGCGCGGATCAGAACGAGTGTTTTTGATTAAAACGTAATACAGCGACAATTCGACTCGGATATCGTCTCAAGGATTCTTTTATGTGATTAATCTACCAAATTCGAAATGGAGGGGGAGTTGGTTTGGTTTCTCATCGGATAAATAAAGAAAATGGAATTAAGCGGTTAAAATAAGTGATTATCAAAATAAGTCAATCTACTGTTTTCGGTTCCGGCTTATCACGGGTTTCTACCTTACCAATTTCCTAAGCGATTTCGATCTTTATTCGATTCCTATGTCAATTAACAAGCGCAAAAGACATAAACTAGATTAACAATCCTATAGTCCAAATTAAGTAAACGGATTAAGTTTTCGTGAATTAACCAAACACGAATTAACGACAATGCGACGTAACGGCGAATAAAAGCTAAGGATGCAATCATACGAATTTAATCAAAACAATTCTATAAATTAAGAGATTAAGCAAAAGTAATTCATAGAATAGTGTTGAAAGAGAAACGAATTAGATTGATAAAGTAAAAACCTCGAAGCGTTGGAACACGATTACAGCAGAATGACTCTAAGGAATTAGCTCTCCATGGTTCTCTCAAAGCTCCGAATGTATTTTTCGTGAAAATGTAACTAGGTGAACAGTAACACGAGTATTTTTCCTTTAAGAAGAAAGCAAATTCGGGTCATAACCCAACTGGGTCGAAAACATAACCCAGGCCCAATACATGACCCAACAATAAAATAAAATTCTAATGCAGTAACTTCAAACGGAATTCTGGAATTTTGGGCTCCGGATCTGACTTCGACTCCAACACGAAAGTCGTAGCTCTCTCTCTTAGCTTTCCGGCGATTTTTAGAACGCCTCAAACGGATTTCTGGAACTATAGTTATGATCGTTTCCGTGCACACTGCTAAAGCTGAAAAATAAGTGCGGAAATCAAATTAAGCCAAAAATAAAATAAAATATACAAACAAAATAAAACATAAAAATAATCAAGATAAAGTAAAGAAATGCCTAAGTAAAAATATAGGAGAAAGTGCATAAATATGCACTGATCATTCATCACGCCGGGAGCGTTTAAGCGTCTCCCCATGGTACCAAAACCTTAGGATCTATGACATTTTGATATTAATGATTATAGGAATACCTTGACGAATATAATGAGAAAGATTTTTAGACAATGACAACGATAATTCTTAAATACAAAAGTGTAGAGACAAGTGTTTGACACTGGTTGGCTTGTGGATTTTTCTCAACCGGTACTCGTAATGTCTTGAAAACTCTTCGAATGGGGAGAAAAAGAGATAATTTTCTTATAGCATGATATATTTGAGATCATAGCCTATATATATAATGATAATCATTTAAAATTCTCATTATTTCGAAATGGATTATCTTGACATCCACTTATATTTAAGCACATATTCAATTAAATAATTAAATATTAAATATAATTAATTATTTTATTTATTTACTCAACCGATTAAAATTCTTATATATAATATATATATATATATATATATATATATATATATATATATATATATATATATATTATATATATATATATATATATATATATATATATATATATATATATATATATATATATATATATTATATATATATATATATATATATATATATATATATATATATATATATATATATATATATATATATATATATATATATATATATATATATATATATATTGCTCTGTCCCGCTCATCACACGAGGTCGGCCCAATGCATCTCTCCGTCGTGGAGGGCCTAGCTCATTGATCAGCTGTCGCGCGCGGATCAGAACGAGTGTTTTTGATGAAAACGTAGTACAACGACAATTCAACTTGGATATCGTCTCAAGGATTCTTTTATGTGATTAATCTATCAAATTCGAAATGGAGGGGGAGTTGGTTTGGTTTCTGATCGGATAAATAAAGAAAATGCAATTAAGCGGTTAAAATAAGTGATTATCAAAATAAGTCAATCTACTGTTTTCGGTTCTTGCTTATCACGGGTTTCTACCTTACCAATTTCCTAAGCGATTTCGATCTCTATTCGATTCCTATGTCAATTAACAAGCGCAAAAGACATAAACTAGATTAACAATCCTATATTCCAAATTAAGCAAACGGATTAAGTTTTCGTGAATTAAGCAAACACGAATTATAAACGCGAATTAACGACAAAGCGACGTAACAGCGAATAAAAGCTAAGGATGCAATCATACAAATTTAATGAAAACAATTCTATATACTAACAGATTAAGCAAAAGCAATTCATAGAATAGTTTTGAAAGAGAAACGAGTTAGATTGATAAAGTAAAAACCTCAAAGCGTTGGAACGCGATTACAGCAGAATGACTCTAAGGAATTAGCTCTCCATGGTTCTCTCAAAGCTCCGAATGTATTTTTCGTGAAAATGTAACTAGGTGAACAGTAACACGAGTATTTTTCCTTTAAAAAGAAAGCAAATTCGGGTCATAACCCAACTGGGCCGAAAACATAACCCAGGCCCAATACATGACCCAACACTAAAATAAAATTCTAATGCAGTAACTTCAAACGGAATTCTGGAATTTTGGGCTCCGAATCTGACTTCGACTCCAACACGAAAGTCGTAGCTCTCTCTCTTAGCTTTCCGGCGATTTTTAGAACGCCTCAAACGGATTTCTGGAACTCCAGTTATGATCGTTTCGGTGCAGACTGCTAAAGCTGAAAAATAAGTGCGGAAATCAAACTAAGCCAAAAATAAAATAAAATATAAAAACAAAATAAAACATAAAAATAATCAAGATAAACTAAAGAAATGCCTAAGTAAAAATATAGGAGAAAGTGCATAAATATGCACTGATCACTCATCACGCTGGGAGCGCTTAAGCGTGTCCCCATGGACACAAACCTTAGAATCTATGACATTTTGATATTAATGACACTACAACAAAAATGACTTTAGGCAACGGAGAAATAGACAACGACTGTAAAACCGTCCCTATAAGTAACATAGGCTACACATTTTTAGTGTTGACGCTTTTCTTTCAAAACCGTCCCCTATTTATTATATGCTACGGTTTTGAAAATGTGGTTATAGTATAACCGTAGTTTATTCCTTTTTTGCAACGCTTTTGAAGTGTGATATTTTTTATTTCTATTTTTTAAAATTCAAACTTGAAAATATGATTGAAAAATTAATTTAAGAAAAATGGCAAAACCAAGACTTGAACCCAAATCCTTTGCTATGTAGAAAGACCTCACTACCACTAGAACAATAACACTATATGATTTTAATTTTGATTCGAAAGTTATTAATTAATTAATATCTTCTAAAACTTGAATTTGGGGGTTGTTTAAACCCTAACTTTTCTCCCTTCCCTCATTCACGCGAACTTTTCTCCCTACTTACGAGGATGAGAAGTTCTCCGGTCTTGTAGGGGTTGATGAGGATGAACGAAGGACAAGCTCCACTCAGGTAAATATGAATCTATTGCTCCTTCTTCTCTCCAATTCTTTCTTCTTCTTCTCCAATCTCTTTAGCCTTTAGGTTCTGAATTGTTGATTATTCTATGATTGGTATTGTGTTGTTGGTGTGGCTTGAAGTGGTGTTGTGTAATTATTCTTGCTGCTTCCTTTGTGAGTGAGAGTCTTGAGAGATGAGTGATTTTGTTGCCCTTATTCTGCTTGGGTGATGTGTGTTCTGTTGTGTGAGTTACATTTTTGTGCGAACTGCTGCGAATTGAGTTGGTGGTTCTAAATTGTACAAAATTAGAATTCAAGGGAAGTGTGGGAATGAACACAGACTCAGATTCTGAGTCCGATGTAAGAAGCATCACAGACTCGGATGTTCTACATGAGATTGATAATTTCATTCACCGAGCTGAGGTGCAGGCATACACTTATGTCTTGCATGCTTTCATATACAAAGCCAACGATATCGATCAGGTATATGCACATATCTATATGATATAATATATAATAACTATAGTATGTGTATTAATAACTTTTGTTTATTGTGTAATTTACCAGGAAAAGCAAGATTTGATAATTAGTCTTATAAGTGAACTCAAAATTTCAAAGGATGAACACAATGAGGTTCTTGCTGAGATTAAAGATGATGAAATGATCCATCTCGTTAGGTATTGTAATAGTTTCTAAATATTGTAATAGAGAAAAAAGTCTAATTTGCTTCTTACATTATTTGTGTTATGATGTTATGGAAATCTTTTGACAATTTTTCACCTGAAGAGCGCATCAAATCACCCTATTCAATAGTCTCAGCTTCACAGGTAATCAACATTATCTTCTGAATGTGATCATGTATATACAATCTAGTATTCATGCATTAATACTTCGATAACATAGCCTTGCAGTCGCCGTTGCAAAGTGTCGCGATTCAGTGTGGCGTCCATTGTATGTAGTTGCTGACCTTTGTTTATTAAAACAAATGATTTAGATTGCTTAAGCTAAAAGCCTATAGTAGCATGACTATAATTGAATCCTTTATATTTGAGAAATGCGAAGGAAAAATGTTTATTGTTGATGTTGATTTTTGTTCTTTTTTGCTGCTGCTACCGATTTTGTTGCAGGATCAACCATTGTCCAGTTTATCTTCAGTGTAATCTGTGCAGGATCCTTCTGTGGAACCTGCAAAAGCAGCATCTAAAGGTCCACTAAAAATTAGTTCTAAGCAGGGGCGGTTGAGAAAAATGATCGGAGTTGTTGCTGCTAAAGATTTACCAACAGAGCCATCTGAAGAAGAGTTTACGCCGTAAGTGCCCTTGTAAATTGTTAACTTCTTTGATACATTTCTCATGTTAGTGTTTTTATTTGTTGTCTCTCTTATATTGTTACATTTTGTGTGTAATAGATATGACAAGTTCTGTCCCTTCTACAAGTCTGTCTAGATGATGCGCAACATTATTCATTTCTACAATTTGGCAAATCAGGTATGGTGGTCTAAGGAATCAAACAATGTTACTTTCATTTTTTTATTGAACAATGTTACTTACATTAGATCCATAATTGACTTTATTATATATAATAAAATATCTAACAAATCTCTTATTCCAAAGCTGGATGGATCCTCAAACAACATTTGATTCAGATAACTATTCTGAGAAAAATTGCTCGTACTTGGTTTTGGAATCATGCTACCAGCTTTAACAGTTTCATCATTACTGTGCAATATGTCATAACTAAACTATTAAGACCTAACATCAATATAGTGGACACATGCAGTCAATTATTTCCGTTTTATCAAATTATAACTGATTTGGAATCTCTGTCTCTATGATCATATTTTTTCGATAACTCTTGGCATTGTTTGGCATTCATCAGATGTCTCTCTCCTTATTTCGATTCGTCGCTGCTGTTGGTAGAACACTAGTTGTTGCTAATTCATTAGGTACATTGACATTGCAAGTGGTATTTGTCTAGATTGTATAGCCTGTTTGTTGATGACATAATAGAAATAATTTATATTTGTAGGGAGAAAAAGTTATGTTTCAGCTCAGACTCAATGGTTATGTGCAAATGAAATTCATGAAGGGATTCAGTGCCGATGCAAAGGTAAAATTGCAAAACCTTAACAAAATTTTCTATCAAAATTTTAGATATAACTCTGTCTTATTATCTGTCATAACATAAAGAAATAAGAAACTAGCTTATTTTATTTATGTGAATTGGATTGGTGCAGATGATGTACGAGGAAGCTAGTCAAGTTGCAAATGATGCAGTTGGAAGTATAAGAACTGTGGCATCACACAAAGCGGTGGATGAATACAAGGAGGCCAAAGCTGTAAGTTTAAAACTTACTTTAGCCTAAGTATCTTTGATTTAATTTAATTTATTTAAAAAAATAATTAGTGAATACTCTGATCTTGGAAAATCTTCACTACCCAGCCTATGATATACTAAAGAAGATTGAAACCTGGGAAGAATGTTTATTACAAGAGACTTTTGTTTTGAATTATTTATACCATAATGATGTTTATACAATGTATTCTTGTTCTATGCAGCTAGGAGTGAATACCGTATATGTACTTGTTGCTGTCAAAACCAGCTAAGGGTGTTGAAAAGTCATTTTCCCTTCTTTCCCTAATTGACAAGATCCTTCCTGTATACAAGTAAGGCCTTAATGTAGTGATGTGTTTTTGAATCATGAATTTAAGTTGTTTAAAATTTTAATCATACTGTAATTTTTCATAGGCAAAGTGGTGACGGAACTGAAGGCGGCTGGTGCTACTTGGATTCAATTTGATGAACCTACCCTTATCAAGGATCTGGATGCTCACCAGTTACAAGCATTTGATTATGCTTATACAGAGCTAGAATCTACTTTATCTGGAGAGGTATTTACAATGCTTTAGTTTAGTGTGTTGCTCATGTTGTGTTTTTCCTTTAGCCTCTACCTGTTGATGGTTGTGTGTTTTACCTTGCTAAGGTCTTGAAAGTTCAACAGTACCGGTCTATTTTCTCAATTCATTTTCATGGCCTTTTTTGCTAGTTGTGTTAACAGTATAGCTGTTTGATTGCTAGTTATGGGATGTATGTAGTGAACAAATGAGGATGTAACTATTTTTATGTATTGCTTTCCAAAGTGATATTTTTCATTGATGTTGCAATTGACTATTATATAGGTACCCTCATATTGAAAAGGATCACTTGGTAAAGCTTTTGAAGCAATTGTTATTAAATACAGCCTCCCTCCTTTATTAATAGAACAAGAGAAGCTCCTCCCTCCTTTAAAATATGTAGGATATTTTAAGTTAATAAACTCAATTACTGTACTTTTCCAAAATGACTTAAATTCATGCTATGTGGGTCTTACGATGAGTATTATTTCTATTGCTGTTTTTCTTGAATTTTTCTGTGGTTTTGGAGTTGGGCTTGTTTAATAATCTCATGCACCTAATTCTATTTTATACTACAGCTATATTTGACCGGTCAGGAAGATATGTTATTACTGGTTCAGATGATCGACTTGTAAAAATTTGGTCAATGGAAACTGCATATAGTTTGGCCAGTTGCCGTGGACACGAAGTGAGTCTTTTTTGTACTTCAAAACATGTTTTTCCTGTTCTTATAGACTTGCATTGCTTTAATATTTGTTGACCATTGGATTGAATTATATACAATGTTTGATAGGGTGATATTACTGACTTGGCCGTGAGTTCAAACAATGCTTTAGTTGCGTCCTCATTAAATGATTGTGTTATTCGAGTTGTAAGTTTTCTGTGACGAAGTTAGCAATTCTTTTGCATATCTTCTCTCCCTTCTATCTGTAATTTATTGGCACTTTATATTTGACGGTTTGGTTTTCATAGCGGCGCCTGCCAGACGGCCTACCAATATCAGTTTTGCAGGGACATACTGGAGCTGTTACAGCGATAGCCTTTAGTCCCAGACCTAATGTTGTTTACCAGCTTTTATCGTAAGTCTGTTTATTAAAGAATGACAAGTAGTTTATAATAGTCTTATTGGTTGGATTTTGCAAAAGAAAGTCGCATGCTTGGTAGTGTGGATGCATGTCGAGTCAGCAAATGCAAATTATGCAATAGTTTCATTCGATTTTACAAATATTCTTAGTAATATTGTAGGTACCAATGCAATCATGTGGTGTATTTAAGTTCCAGTTGGTAATCATGTTCATCTAAATGGATGTAGTTTGCTGGATACAACATGTGAACTTTCTCAAAGAAAAGGCTAATATGCTTTCTCTATATCATTCAGATACTATAGTGGTTGATGAACAGTCTTTGCCTTTACCCCATATAACAGAATAAAGACCAATTGCAATAATCACTGCTCCAATGATACTATCATCCATAAAGAGAACATTATTCACCAAATTAACAAACAGATGAACTAAGGCATAGACAATTTTGAAGACTTGCAAGATCCAAAATTTACTAGAATTAAACCATGGTTAAATAATGCTCTTAAAATATTTGTCACAATCAAACTATAGTAAGACTAATAAAATATTTGTCAAAATTAAGCATTAATTATAAAGTAAAGTTTCTATTTATTTTGTCACGATTGAATTATATTAACTTATACATAACCTTAAAATATAGTTACTTTGTTAATTAACTTTTTAATTGTGATAATAAGAAAGACTAGTAAGATATACCTGCCCAAGTGGAGTTGTTCTCCAAAAAGAAAGGCGCCTAAAGCACAAGTGATAATCATACAAAGAGGATTAAATGCTGTGAAAAATACTGGGCCTTTGCTTTGCAATATCAACCCTTGCAGATAATATGTTATTCCTGAGGTAACTATTCCTTGTAATTTTTATGTTCATTAATTTTGTTTTTGAGGTAACTATAAAATAGAAAACATTGCTGATAAAATTTTTGAGATACCGTAAAGAGAGGACCATAGAGTCTAAAGTCCCAATTGAGAGCCCAAACCCTCGCACCAGAGTGATGCTCCGCCACCAATGCCACTGCACTACTTTGCAAAGCACCAACAAAGCAAATTAACGTAGACAGTGACATTTCAGCCGGATATTTTTTCAATGTTATCGACTGCAATTCAAAATTTATATTCATATTGTATTATACAACATGATAGATGATACATATCAAAATTGTACAAGAAAAAGAAAAAGAATAATATATAGTAAGTTACCTGTAATATGAAGAAAGATGACCAAGCAAAACAATCCAATAATATAAAAAGTGTTCCTGAGACCCAATGTTTAAGAGTTTGAGTGTCGTGACTTCCAGCATGTTGATTTCTTCTATTTTTTGTTTTCTTGAATCGATGATATGTTCTGTGATTATGGCACTTGTCGCTACTGCGAAAATCGGCGCCGACTGAACAGAAGAGTCGCCACCGCGCGTTATTTATCCCAAATAGGGGAAAGGAAACGCTCGAGGTAAACCTACCGCAAAACGGGGAAAGGAATGGTCATCGCAACCAAATCCTGGATTCGGGAGTCGGTTACGCAAGGGGAAGGTATTAGCACCCCTCACGTCTGTCGTACTCGACGGGATCCACGCTTGTTTTCTAGTACGGATTGTTATTCTGTCTACTCTACAGGTCAAGGGGTTAAAAGAAAATAAAATGACTCGGCAAAGTATCGCACTTTATGCCTACGTATTCCCGTCGGAAACGAGAAATCAGAGTCAACGTAGTTCGCCTACCTACGGGAAAGGAGGGGAAGGTTGCTCGCTAGGATATCGCATCTTATGCCTACGTACTTTCATACAACATGAAAGATCAGAGCAAACGTAGTTCGGGCCACGTACGACACAAGTCTGTCTTGATTGTTTTTATCTCCTTCTGAAAAAGGGTTTTTCTGATTACTGGTCCAAGCGGACAAAAATGACGTTTTGATGAGTTCACATTCTTTTACGGAAGAAGTGTCTTTTATTGGATTTGGAATCTTATTGTGTTTTTCTGTTTGTTTTGAGAAAGAAGAGACAGAACTCTAACCTACGGTTGAAAAGGGAATCAAACTGACCTAATGTTATCATGCATGGGTTAAGACCTAATGTCTATCATGCTCCTCTCTTGCGCAGAGAGAAATAGAGATCCTAAGGGATAAACGGAAACAGAAACAACAGATATACAATAAAGCAGTAAAATGCATGGATGCAGCAATACAAGCGTGGCAAGGGAGTCCCACTCAACCTCGAACCTAGAAAACAACAGGCAAAAGCGAA